TATTAACAGGTGGAGTGTTGATGAATATATACTGGGTGAAATGTTGACTTAATGCTCACATTTTATAGAAGACGTGAATACAGTTATGTTCGAATCACCTATATGACCACCTAGATTGATCAATACTGGTATATGTCATTAATTAGGTAAGGTACTAGAATATTGAATATTCAATATTTTAGAAATTTTAAAGCTTTTGTCTTAGATCATGATTCTTCTCTGAGAGCTTGGCATTTATACTCTATACTTAAATGAGGGATAATTATTTCATATAGCCTGTATCCAATTAAAAAGGTCATGGCTGCATTTTGTGGCTGTAAAGAGGATAGTGTTTCTAGCTGATGGTGATGCAGGGTAGTTATGATGGATCTAGCCACTCTTAATCTAATTCTTGAAGAATCAATAGCAAGCAGAGTGGAATACAAAGCCAATTTGTAATGAAATAGCTGTTATAATTAGTCCATGTTCATCCAATGAATCATATTATTTGGATAATGGAAATATATTACACCCAGCCTTGTCTAATTAGAAAAACTGATTGGGTTGTCTAGATCAGTGACTTACCAATGTGTTATTTCAGTTATGGGACATTCCAACCCCATGCTTTAAGTCAGTTATGGGACATAACACAGGCCAACCCCATGCTTTATGTCAGTTATGGGACATGTCAATCCATGCTTTATGTCAGTTATGGGATATGTCAACCCATGCTTTATGCCAGTTATGGGACATGCCAACCCATGCTTTATGCCAGTTATGGGAATCCATGCATTACGTCAGTTATGGGACATGCCAATCAATGCTTTATGTCAGTTATGGGACATGTCAACCCATGCTTTATGTCAGTTATGGGACATGTCAACCCATGCTTTATGTCAGTTATGGGACATGTCAACATGTGCTTTATGTCAGTTATGGGACATGTCAACCCATGCTTTATGTCACTTATGGGCCGGGACATGTCAAACTGTGCTTTATGCCAGTTATGGGATATGTCAACCCATGATTTATGTCAGTTATGGGACTTGTCAACATGTGCTTTATGTCAGTTATGGGACATGTCAACCCATGCTTTATGTCAGTTATGGGACATGCCAACCCATGCTTTATGCCAGTTATGGGACATGCCAACCCATGCTTTATGCCAGTTATGGGACATGCCAATCCATGCTTTATGGCAGATATGGGACATGCCAACCCATGCTTTATGTCAGTTATGAGACATGTCAACCCATGCTTTATGTCAGTTATGGGACATGTCAACCCATACTTTATGTCAATTATGGGACATGGCAACCCATGCTTTATGTCACTTATAGGACATGCCAACCCATGCTTTATGCCAGTTATGGGACATGCAAAACCATGCTTTATGTCAGTTATGGGACATGCCAATCCATGCATTACGTCAGTTATGGGACATGCCAATCAATGCTTTATGTCAGTTATGGAACATGTCAACCCATGCTTTATGTTAGTTATGGGACATGTCAACCCATGCTTTATGTCAGTTATGGAACATGTCAACCCATGCTTTATGTCAGTTATAGGACATGTCAACCCATGATTTATGTCAGTTATGGAACATGTCAACCCATGCTTTATGTCAGTTATGGGACATGTCAACCCATGCTTTATGTCAGTTATGGGACATGCCAATCCATGCTTTATGTCATTTATGGGACATGTCAACCTATGCTTTATGCCAGTTATGGGAATCCATGCATTACGTCAGTTATGGGACATGCCAATCAATGCTTTACGTCAGTTATGGGACATCCCAACCCATGCTTTATGTTAGTTATGGGACATGTCAACCCATGCTTTATGTCAGTTATGGAACTTGTCAACCCATGCTTTATGTCACTTATGGGACATGCCAACCCATGCTTTATGCCAGTTATGGGAATCCATGCATTATGTCAGTTATGGGACATGCCAATCAATGCTTTATGTCAGTTATGGGACATCCCAACCCATGCTTTATGTCAGTTATGGGACCTGTCAACCCATGCTTTATGTCAGTTATGGAACATGTCAACCCATGTTTTATGTCACTTATGGGACATCCCAGCCCATGCTTTATGCCAGGTATGGGACATGTCAACCCATGCTTTATGTCAGTTATGGATCATGTCAACCCTGCTTTATGTCACTTATGGGACATGCCAACCCATGCTTTATGTCAATTATAGAACATGTCATTGTCAACCCATGCTTTATGTCAGTTATGGAACATGTCAACACATGCTTTATGTCAGTTACTGATCCTACATTTTGATTTAATTTTGATATATTTTAAAATTGGTAAATTAATTTTGATATATTTTATATTTTGATTTCATTTCGATATATTTTAAAATTGTTAATTATTTCATATTTATCAGCCTTATATCCCTGAGTTGATTTTTAGGCATTTTAAAGGTTATGTCGACATAGAATTGCATTGCAATATTACTGCTTGTTAAAAAGAATATTCTTTAGAGTGACTTATGAAGAACACCCTGCATGTTCACATCAGGACATAATTTTATTCGTACTTTGTTATTATGAAGCCTTGATATCCCGCTACCATAATCTGAAAAAACATGTGGTTTGCAATAGTGAAACAGTAAAACATGTATATTCAGGAAAATCTGATTTAAATGCACCAAGTTCACGACTCACGAGCGATCAACATACTCGTTCTACATGACGTGGATGTCTACCTACCTCACGCAGCTATCAATTTGGAATTTGATAATCAGTAATTACATGAATATATTAATTATAGGTAAACCAGTAATGGAGTCTTGTTTTCATGACAGATACCCAGGTGTGATCTGGAAGTGTTACCTAAGTCTAGTGCTCATTCCAGGCACTTATTTGCGTGTTTTTTACATTATAGCTTTAGGGGGATGAGTGTAGAAATCTTAGGATGAAGAGTCAACAGATCCAACTATTAATTTCTTATTTGGATTTTTTTGAGGGGGGGGGGGGCTCTTTCATAGAAAAACTATGAGGGTTCAGTATGTTTTCACTCTATCTCATGCTGCAGAATCAGAATTTGAAATTTGCTCAAAATTACCAAATAGATTTTTAAGGATCTTAAAGGTTGGCAATTTGTAAAAGATATTGGATACTAAAGAATATAAATCTGGTGTGAGGAAGGTGTATTAAGTTGCAACATCTTTTCATCTACTGGTGGTATGATATTAAATTATTTTAGACGGGAGGGGGGAGATTAGCAGGACAAGGTGACTTATTCCCTTAATTAAAACATCAGTGTAGTTTAAACTCATGCATTTTGATGTAGTTAGGATATGTATATCGTCAGAAGTCTTGCTTTAAGGAAATATATTGCAGAAAAATATTGGTAGATGAGGGCAGAACACATATCTCTTTATCCACCTCTTTTACACACTTTAAATCTCTACTTAACTTCTGGTCTCAGTTCACAGGATAACATTTTACAGTCAACCTCAAGAGAGGTCAATAGTTGTTTATTAGACTACATCCTAATTTGAATTGGAGCTTGTGAGGTAGAAAACCAAGAAAGAATATAGTCACTATGATATAAATGGTCAGAGAATGCAATTTAATCAGCGAAATGCACTTAGGAATGTTAGCCAATAATTTAAGATAGAAATTGGAAAGGAGTTCTAAACCCTTTCAAGATGTTATCCTGTGTTCATAAGATTTGAAATATTAAACATGTTCAAGTCAAAAATAATGCGAAATAGTTTTCTAGAAATTTAAAGTTGAACATTAATTATGTGTCATAGTAAGTCATACATTTTTTCATTGGTCATACAAAAATATAACTGGCTGAGGTTTCATCACCATGGAGAGGAACACAGTCTTATTCAATTTATTTGTGATTCAATTAAGCCCAGAAAACACAAGAATAAAGTGTATTGCCACTGATGAGGTTTAGAACTCCTTAAATTCATTAAAGGAATGGGATAATGTTGCCTTAGGGATTTTTCCCTCAGTTACTTCTAGGTACAAAATTCTTATTTTTCAGATGACCCCAAAATGTGCTAGTTTAATCAGAGTATCTAAATCGTCCATGATATTTGTCTAGTTCTATTCTATTATGAAAATATGAAGAGCTAACATTTGCCAATGTTATTGTATATTGTAGTGTACATTATTGTTGGTTGAATCAATTTTTATGGGTAACTATAAAGCATTACGTTATGGGGGGGGATTTCCAGTTAAAATTCTGACTTTTTAGGGGGGGAGAAGCGTGTGCCCCCCGATCTTCAATAATTATTTGTTTTACATGGTTTCTTTACTGAAACTTCAAATTAGACACATCATTATTATTGATGTGGTTATATAAATTGTAAAAAGTCTAACAATGCCCTTGATTTTCACCTGATACTAAGGGTATGTCCGGGAATGCCCCATAGCCGAAAATACCCCTATGTCCTCTAGATAGATTCTTGCAAGATCCTTGCTTAATTTTAGCGATCTTTACCATAATCTTTTCAATACATATCATTATTGTAAAAATATGCTGTTACTTGGTTTTGATGTTGCAAATAAGGCATTCTTGGCAGGAAAAATTGCCAAGCATGAAATTCCTGGGGATTTTGCGTAATATGGTCTAAATGATGTATTTTCAATTTTCTAAATGCCCCGGGCGCTAATTACAGAGAATACTTTTATGTTTTGTTGACTCTAAAGATGCCATAACATGCCATATTAGTATGTAAATAAATCTACTTAACTACACTACACTATTCTACACTACACTACATTACACTACATTACATAACACAATACATTGAAGAAACACTTTTTATATTTCGTTGACTCTCAAAAGAGGCCATTACATGCCATATTAGTATGTACAAAATTAACTTAACAACTCATTACATTTCCCTTCACTATCCTACTCTACACTATCCTACACTACACTACACTACACTATTCTAAACTATTGAGTTACATAATACAATTTAGTATATACAGGATGACATATAATGACTTCTATTATTTTTGTTTTTCAGGATGAGACTGGTGCCTACTTAATTGACCGAGACCCCACCTATTTTAGTCCAGTATTAAACTACCTTAGACATGGCAAACTAATAATTAATAAAGGTTTAGCTGAGGAAGGTAAGTGATTAAATTTATTCAAAGTATCTCATACTGTCAGGTTCCTATGAGTTGAACAAGTATGTTTGCTGCTTTCTTGCAGAACTTTTTGAATGACCCCACTACTGTATATACATAATTTACATGCATCCTCTAAGGCAATATCAATTCCTATTGTTATTAGATCCTGGAGAGTAAATAATTAAAGAGACTGATAAATAATCATATTGGTACTAATTTTAATTCTTACATATCATTATTTTATATGTTTTTACAGTATTTGTTGTACTAATGTTTCTTGAAAAAGATTTTTCTCTAAATACTGTTGTTACTATTTTAGAAAACCTTTTAAATAGGGTAGCAAGGAGAATTGGATTCCAGTGTTTTAATCTCCAAGCAATTTGTTCCATGCTGATTTCTATCGTGAAGAACGCACAAATGAACTGTAAAGAAAATGGCCAATATTCTAGCGATACCTACGACAGTAATGAAAATGTTGTTATTGCTAATATTGGTAGTAATGTAGTTTTTGATAACCAGCAATCCAAAAGATTTGAGTTCAAATCTTGATTTCAATTTTTTGTTATAAAATAAGACCAAATCTCGCGATTTAAATTTTGAAGTGAAAAATTGCTGGCTGTTAAATTTTGAATTTTGTAATCATGACATCTCCATATATGGTAGCATATCGATTTGGAATCCTGGGAGCCAATCCTCCTTTTAAAGGTAGCATGTGTTTCATATCCTTGATTGTTTCTGAGAATACTTTATCATGATGACTAAAAGTGAGATTTTCTCAAATTGGTTTTCTAAGAAAGGTTTTCTTGATATAATACACATATGCATCTGATGATTTAGGAAAATATCATTGTTGATCTTAATAATGACATTGGTTGTTATGAAACAGATAACGCAATAATAATTATGTAGTATAGATTGCTATTGCATTTTACGTCTTATATTGTCATCATCGTGTGCTGAGGAGTGTGCATGCTATGCTGGGTGAATTACATAGCGACCATTTTACTCTTCAATGTGCCAATTTTATAAGCGTGTCTTGTTTTACCTCATACTCTTTTTCTTATTTGTGTACTTTGAATGTTTTAACTTATTTGAACAATTGATTATCAGATTTGATAATTGATAATGTCTTCCAAAGAGGTTATATTGTATCACCCCATTTCCCAGATTTAAGAAATATCAAACTATATTATCAAAAACTATGTCTGAGATGTTTGTAGTGCTACATATTTGACTTTGCCAGTTACTTACTATTTCCTTTACTAAAAGATGGATTTCATGTTTAGATTTGCAATGATACATCTATTTGATCGATGAGTTGTTTATCTCACTGGTTAGAAGTATTACCTTGCTATTTAAAATTAAACCAGCTTATGCTCTGGGGTTAAGATTTGATCAACATGAATAAGATAGAGCTACATTTGATGAATAGATCTTATTTGCTTTTGTAGTTTGATTTAGGTTTCATGTTTGAAGTGTCTTCATGTTGAAACATAGATTATTACCTAAACATCAATCTGATACCCAGCAGTATAAAAAAATAGAATGAAAATTAATACATGGAGTATTTTTGCATATTTTTGATAATGCAATTTATTAGATAATATCTTTTTTATCAGAAAGCATGATTGATAATTATAAGACAAAAGCTCTAACTTGTTCATGGTTTTGACAAAATCTTGCAGTTCAATACATAATGATCACTCCCTCCCCTTACAATTTTAGACCTTATCTATAAATAAAATATATTTAAGATTATTTACATTAAGCCCATGCACTCATACAAGAACTAGCTAAAAATGTGTTCAATTTTCATCGTACTTTTTCAAAGTGTTATATTCACCCTATGCAGACAGAGCCTGTGGGAAATATTGGGTGCGGCGCAAATGAGCGGAGGGTGCGGAGCTAACGGTCATTTTTGAATTTAAAATTGGGATATTTCTGAAACTAAGCCGTTTTGGGACTTCAAATATACCAAGATATGTGTATTTGACACAAAATATCAATAAAATTGTGAAAATAGTAGTGCAATTCATTTTATAGTGACGCAGTATGCCTTAAATATTTCCCAGACCTATATATTTTGAGACTATCCTTTTAATACTGCGTCCCCAGCATTCATAAAAAATGGTGTTCAAGATACACTACCCATGCAAATTATTTTTGCATCTTGGAAGCCAGGCAGTATCTGTGTGATTTTATAAAAATTCGGAAATGTTCTTCAGATATGAGCCCCCTCTAAATATTGGGTGCGGAGCTACGTTTATAGCTCCATAAACGTAGCTCCGCACCCAATATTTGGTGTCAAATACACATATCTTGGTATATTTGAAGTCCCAAAACGGCTTAGTTTCACAAATATCCCAAATTTAAATTCAAAAATGACCGTTAGCTCCGCACCCTCCGCTCATTTGCTCCGCACCCAATATTTCCCACAGGCTCTGTCTGCATAGGGTGATATTGTGGCTGTCTTATGCTGATGAGGGTGCATGCATCTGGGTACACTGTAACCACATAAATCTTGTCATCAAAATTACATGAAAAGTGCCTACCTATTATTAAAGTGCAAGTGCAGTAGGGGTTGAGCTAAAGCTCTGAGAGCAGCCAATCAAAATGGCATTACAGACCAGTTGCAATGTTATTTTCTTATACCTACTGAAAAAAGTGGTCCGTATCAAAAGCAGCCTGTGCAATGACCAGCGGACTGGCCCTTAGCTCAAGCCCTGAAGTGCAGACTGAGTTGCCAAAATCAGATTAAGTTTCGGGCATGCTGGGTAAATTACTTGATGCCCATTTCGAAATTTTCAATGAAAAGTGCAATATTTATTATTTATCACCGTGTGTCTTGTTTATTTTTTGCAGGTGTACTAGAGGAAGCAGAATTTTATAATATAACAGACCTTATAAAACTAGTGAAGAGGCGGATTGAAGAAAGAGACAATGCTGAGAACCAAGTGAGTAAACTTATAAGGAAAGAGAGGGGTATTTTACTTTCCATGTTCCTCATAGTATTGTTTCAAGACCCTCCCCAACTTCAACAGTTCTTGAAGTAGATAGTAGACAGGGTCTTGAAGCAAGTCTATTTTCTGTTATTTCTTCTTATGGAAGCAGTTATGGAAGAATTTAAGGGCCTACCAGGGGGTTACACTGAATCATAGAGTCAGTTATGTATATTGTATATTGTTAATACCAACAAGACAACATAACTGAATAAAAAATATGGCTATCATAACTAATATAGGAGATGGAGCATTGTTTCCACGCGGTACTAACTTTGACCGTTAATTTGAATTTTTGACCTACCAGGTGCTTGAAAATCAAGGATTGCGAGTCTCATACTGCACCGTTTTTCTTCAAACTTATACCATTAAAAGCAAAACAAAATTGCCTTTCTGTCGGTGCATTACTTTATTGGAAAGAGTCCCTTGTTCACTCAGCGTTTTGGTCCCCAGCTGTTGGAAGGCCTTCTTACAGCTGGGGACTAAAATGCCGCTGGAAGTAGGGTCTCTTATTAAGAGAATAATGTACCATCGGAAAGGAATTTTTGTTATGCTTTGAATGGAACAAGTTTGAAGAAAAACGGTGCAGTATGAGACTCATAATCCTTGATTTTCACACATCCGGTAGGTCAAAAAATTCAAATTAACGGTCGAAGTTAGGACCGCGTGGTTTCTGGATAAATGAACCTGCATCTATACCTGTTATTGAAGCAGTCATTTTGCATTCAAATATACTCCTCAAAAAAAGTTAAGGACCTCATAGGTTTACATGTTAACCCCCATATTTGTTTGATCGACTGTTTTCTAAGCGGGGAACAAAAGAAATCCCAATAAAGTAAATAAATCTGTATCTTGATTCTATTCCCTATAAAGTCTGCAACGTTTCAATGTTATATCTCCATTACATTCTGTCAAAATTTGATGTCAAAATTGATGAATTTCATGAAATTTAACAAAAATGGCAGATCCCATGTTAAACAAATGGGAAATGGTGGCTCAGGAGCAACTCAGATTTTGGAATATCTATTCAGCAAAACATTTATTAAAAATACTTTCTAAGTAGAAAATTGAATGATTTTACATTTTACATGCTAAATGTCTCGCTTATAAGTAATTTTGACCACCTCACTGAACCACCTGTGTTATTTCAATAAGAGGTTCATTAAAAAATTATTGAATTTGAAACCATTAACTTTTGTAAAGCCTGGACAATTAAATCATATTTTTGTCGATTGGACAATTTAGCAAATTTAATTATCTCTTACAATTTCAATTTTGAGAGCAATCGGATGGATGGATCGTTCCTCATATGACTTATGGCAACCCAACCATTCCCCATTTGTTTAACATGGGATCTGCCATTTTTGTTAAATTTCATGAAATTCATCAATTTTGACATCAAATTTTGACCCAATGTAATGGAGATATAACATTGAAACATTGCGGACTTTATAGTGAATAGAATCAAGATACAGATTTATTTTCTTTATTGGGATTTCTTGCTTAGAAAACAGTCGTTAAACAAATATGGGGGTTAACATGTAAACCTATGAGGTCCTTAACATTTTTTGAGGAGTGTAGTAAATATATACATTTCAAATCAGAAAAGAATATTTCCATGCTTGCAGGGAAAAATTTAAGGCCCATTTCTTGATAATTTCAAAATTAGGTTAAAAAATCTTTTCAATGGCCCTGCCAGTGTATATACCGTACTGTATAAGGTACAGCAGCTTAAGAAATATTTAGGCACAAAGCTTTCCTTAAATGTGTGAATGCAATTAGTCTCGTCAATTCACAAAATCATTTATAGATTGTAGTCTTTCTTATTCAGAGTGGCATTACTTCCTCTCTTGCTGTTGTAAGGCATATCCTGATATTCCACTAGGAGCATCCCCTGATAAAAATATCACATTTGTATCAATTTGTATCGAATTAGAGTGATAAAGAAGCAAATTATCAAAGAATAAAGTAGACAGGCATGAAATTCACACATAAAATTGTATAGAAATACAAGAAAATCTTATACTTTATTCAAATTCTAGAGAGAAATGGAGAGGAATAATTATGAGCAGACGGACATTTTTAAAGCTTTGGAATCAGTAGGGAATCAGTAAGAGGTTATCATCATGGCCTTGGTGAAGGGTAGAAGTAGGAAAGGCCTTCAAGACTACTTAGTTATCTCTTAAATGACCTTAGAGCCAAATAACTAGGTACTTATTAAGATAAAGAAAAAAATATCTCAAGGGAATGTATAAGTGGGGCACTTTGAGGAAACAGAATCTCGGGTTGTTCCAAAGGTCCCCAATGAGATATTTAGCTACAGTAAATGAATTTACAATGATGAACAAAGATACTGACAGTAAATGTGTCATTTTCATAATTGTTATTTCAATGTCCTTTCTTATGGTAAAATAACGCACCTTTGGAAATTTCATTTTTTAATGAGAATGAACAATTATTTTTGCCATTACTGAGAAATCTCACGATCTCCTAAGTAATGTTACGCTCTGATAACCTCTTATACACTCTGATTTCCCGACTTGTTACGGTTCCTCATGCTTTGATCCCACTTTGATCAGGCTTTGTTACGGAAGGGTAACAGAGCCTAACAAAGCGTGTCAATCCTTTATCAAAGCATCTCAATTAGTGGGAAAGCGTGAGAGTTCATGAAAGCGTAAAAAAGCGTGTCAGATCTTGATGAAAGTGTCTGACCTCCGATCTTCATGCCAGATCGTAGCAAATCTTGAGACATCTTAACGAAGCATGTCAAGTGGTGACAGACCGTGAGGAGACTGGGGTCCCCGCTTTGAACCAAGCTCTGTTAAGCTTTCCTACGCTTTGAGTCAAGCTTTGCTGAGCTTTGTTTCGCTTCGTTAAGCTTTGATACACTCTCGGAGCTTTCATCAATTCGTGACAGAGCGCCCAAAATTTTTAAACAGTTTAAAATTTTTTGTGACCCATTTATAACATGTTTTCTATACTTTTAGCCCTATGTGACCCATGAATAACATGTTTTCTATGCTTTCATCCCCATGTGCCCCATGAATAACATGTTCTCTATGCTTTCATCCCTATGTGACCCATGTTCTCTATACTTTCAGGCCTATGTGCCCCATGAATAACATGTTCTCTATGCTTTCAGTCCAATGTGACCCATGTTCTCTATGCTTTCTTCCCCATGTGCCCCATGAATAACATGTTCTCTATGCTTTCAGTCCAATGTGACCCATGTTCTCTATGCTTTCTTCCCCATGTGACCCATGAATAACATGTTCTCTATGCTTTCAGTCCCATGTGACCCATGAATAACATGTTCTCTATACTTTCAACCCATGTGACCCATGAATAACATGTTCTCTATGCTTTCAGCCCCATGTGACCCATGAATAACATGTACCCTACACTTTCAGCCCCATGTGACCCATGTATAACATGCTCTCAATACTTTTAGGCCTATGTGACCCATGCATATCATGTTCTCTATGCTTTCAGCACTATGTGACCCATGTATAACATGCTCTCAATACTTTCAACCCATGTGACCCATGAATAACATGTTCTCTATACTTTCAGCCCTATGTGACCCATGAAAAATGAGACATGTTCTCTATACTTTCAGCCCCATATGACCCACATATAGCATGTTCTCTATACTTTCAGCCCCATGTGAAGCATGTATATCGTGTTCTCTCATGTTTAGAGACAGAACTCACCACTACAGTATCCTCCATCTCAGATGGCTGGAAGTTTGAACAGGTTTGTAGATATGTAGCTCAATCTATTTATTTTTGTAATGATTTCATCATGATCCATCGGATATGTCGTGGATTAACATTTGAACTTATGTTTTACAAGAATAGTACAGGTAACTGTCATTCAATTATCTACCCTTGATCATACATCATTCTTTATTTGAAATGATATTTTGTTATGTTTTTGTTTCAGCTTGTAAATATTGGTTCATCGTATAACTACAGATCAGAAGATGAGGCAGAATTCCTATGTGTTGTGTCTAAAGAATGTCCCAATGTATCAAATCATGATGACCTCCCAACAGATAAAGCTAAGGTTAGTTATGGCCTTCCTAAAAATAAAGTTAAGGACCTTAAGTCATTGCTTCCATACTAATAACACTATGGACTTATTGCAAACAATGTATGTTCAGATATGATGCCAAAAAATCATACAAATTATATTATTGAAAGATATCACAGAAAGCAACTAAAATGAGAAAAAATAGATTCAATTGAAAGGCTATTCAAAATAACTGCTACTCCAAACAAAGTTTATTCTCACATTTATTAATCCAGTGCCAAATTATTTGAAAAATAAGACTATATAAAAATGTTCAAATATATGCTCATCTTCTCGATTGCTTGTATTTCCAGGTATTACAACAAAAGGGCTCAAGGATGTGACAAAACCTCAGAGCCATCTTTAAGCCATCTTGTTTCACCCTCTTCAAACGGACACATCCCTTACAAGAAATATTGTGGTGGTCATGTATCCCTTCCAAGAAATGAAACAGAGAATTCAATAGGAGGAAATCAATGACCACTGTTGTATCACATGGATGGGAATTATCATATAAAACGTCACTCATACAGGACAATGTATTTTCAAGTGCAATTCTTACGAGTAAATGTCACCGTAATTTGAAGCTTACAGTCGTGTGTGAACTTGCTATTTAAGCACTGCTGTATTGACTTTAATCTTCACACCATTTCTGTAATTCCAATAATTTTGAAAATGTAGCTGTTGGTGATGCATTCATTGGTACCTTGTGATCATTCTCGTCTATTTCCTATCTAAGTAATATGTCAAATGATAACACTGTAATACTTGACAGAAGTATTTGAAAGGAGAAATCTGTTGCTTCGATTTCAGATGTTGTCACATGTAGAACTATGTATAGTAGGTGATGTCATTTTCAACCAAAATTCATAGAAATATGAGATTTGCTGCGCCATCTATAGATGATATTGGATAATGAATAATCTTATGAGACATCACATGAATTCTAAACTTTGCAGTAATTTGAAAAAGATGAATCAGTCTTCATCAAAAATCCACAATTTATATTTCTAAAATACGATTTTTGCAATATACCGTATGTATTGCAGATTTATAAAGGAGGGCAAAATATACTGGAAATCTCCAGGAAACGGTTGTGAGATTATGTAAACAGGAAATCTTCAATTTTGGTTTTTAGGTATAACTTTATATCGAACGGTAGCACTCGGCTCCAAGAAATAACTTACACTTTTTTCCATTCTATTTTCTAAGCAATTTTCCACATGCATTTAGGGATTTAGGGACTGTGTCAATGTGTCAATTTTTTGTGAAAAAAATAATTATTTAGGGGGAGGGAGTAAAGATTCTTTTGAAAAAATCTAATAAAATTCAAATCAACATTTTCATATTTTGTTAAATGGGGAAAGGGACCATAATTAAATTAACAACATTTCAATTTCAGCTTTTTGACACTATTCCTTTACCTTTAAAACTGGCCATGTTTTGTGGCTGTGGGTCAGAGTGTATTGTAAATCAGTTGCTGACCATATCCATGCACAATGTAATTACATTTGTGTATTCAACTACTTTTAACTAAGGCATATCAGTTTTTCTAGAATATCTTTCTCTTGGCAGGGCCAAACTCTATGCATGAATTCAGCAAAACCATAACCTTCATGATACTTTTGGTCATGACTTAGCTTATATTAAAAGGTGTGGTATTTGTTCTGAGCAGAAGCTTTAAATTTTTCAAAATAGATTTTGTACAAATATCTTTTGTAAACAGAATTTTTTCTTTGTTCTAACATCTCTTTCCACATATTCCAAGCACATTAATGAGATGTTACAATTTGTCATTTGCAGATTTTCACATTGTAAATTAAGGACACATTCGATATGCGTTGCTGTACTCGAACAACTATTTTTAAAATACATTTATACTTTCTTGATAATCTCCACTATTTTAAGGCAAATGTACATATTGTTATGCAGTATATTGTTGATTATCATTCAATTGATTTATTTGAAGTTTGTTGTAGAGTCGTTGGTCATATAAGTTGTGCTACGCTATCTATGTTCCAAGTATGGCAAGTGAACTCAGTATATTGCTGCATCAGCAACTGTAGTAGTTTCATACAAACTGATGTTTATTCTAGATGTAGTCCGATATAAGATCTGTTTGTTGAGTTTATGCTTTTAACATATTATATATACAGAATTGGATAATCATTGTATTGGATAACTATAATGTTGGATAACTGGTGTATTAGATAACCAATGTTTTGAATACTGGATATCCTATGTATTGGATAACAGTTTTTATCACATTGGTATTGTTTTTCATTTCTAAAATTTAGAAATGGTCTTCAATACAACATAACATTGTGTTATACACACTTATGATTTAAATCATGCTTCGCAAGATGGTTGTCGCAGCTTTTGAACTGCAGACTGAGAAGGTTGTATTTTATAAATGAGGTATAAAGCCACTGCAGCCTTGAATCCAAAAGGGAACAAAATAAAGAATATATTTGTATATCAGTCATCTTACAACAGGCTGTTATGTACCATAGCCCACCTGAACTGGTATATCTGGGTAAGAAATTTGATAATAAGGGGGGGGGGGATTTTCTGAGTAGACAAATTTAATCAAAACATTAATATGCATCTTCAATTGTGAAAATATATGCAGTGATTTTTATGATATTGTACAGTTTGTGTAGGTATGAATACATTTCTTATGAACCAAACAAAGTTTTCTGTTATACTTTTTGCGCTAATTTGCTCAATTTTTCATGGAACGACTAAAAATTGGGAACAATTTTGAGTATCAAATAAATGCAAAACATTCTATTATTGTTTAATAGCATAGAAAATGTTTATTACATATTTGCTAACTGGTAAATGTACAGTAGTTACAATTTACAGTTATGAACACCAAATCACTATTATAATTAGACATATACTTAATTTACTGTACCTCTTTAATAACGTGATCAACATTGGCATAAAAATTACAGATTAAAAAATTTTGAAACAGCTGCCTTGTTAGTAACCCGACGCAATACTACGCTCGGTCTGAATTTTCATACCTTGGTTCATCCTTGAAAATCAAATAATTTCCTTTAAAACAATAAATCACAGATTCCAGAATTACGTTTTAATGCGGGATGTTTTTAATTTTGCACAATTTTGAACTCATGCTGTATTGTTCACTCATAAGCACATTATTTTTGCGTAATTTATGCTTTTCTCAAAGAATATCTTCTCACCTGATGTTTCACTACTTCATCATCTTCATAATTATTAATATTATGTAAATAATGTCTAAACTTAACAAAGACTCGTAAAAAGTTCAAATCGTCGATCACCGAAATGCTGTCAAAATTCAAGGACATTTTTATTTACTAGAAATATAGATTTTTAAATTTTTTTTCCCCTGCATAATTTTGTGTTTTTTGCTAAATAATTTCAATTTTTTGCCTGCATAGTTCTAGGATCTGTGATAAATACCTGGGAACATTCAAAATTACTAAATGTACCAAAACAAATGAGGTCTACGACTCTACATCTATATAAATTATTTGAAATGAATCCCTTAAACATAATGCCTTGAAAACATACATGGTCACAAGTATTTTTTTTAACTTACCAACCTACAGCTCAGATTACAAGTATTTCATTTGTTTGAGAAGAAAACCTATCATAACTATAAGTCTTTTACGACGGGCAAAGGTAATATAACATTTGAAAGTGTTTCCTCAAAACAGAATGAAATATTTGTTTTTATATTCACTATTATCTTTCTCATTTTGTAACATGGCTGAAGGAATAAAAATGATGTGAAGGAAATATTTGTCCTTCAAATCTTTGAGCTATAAGAGTGATAAAAATAATTTTTTTTAAATTTGTTAATTCAATGTCGCTGTCAACACAGAATTTTAAAACCATTCCTAATGAACTGAGGTACATGTATCAGCAAGAAACTCATTTGGGAAACCCTATGAGTTGATATAAATTCTCTCATCATTATGTCATGATTTCTATCCAGATTACATGATGGAGTTGTTAAAAGGAATAACCCCATCCCCAAACTTATATACATGTAGTATATTCAAATGTTTAGTGAAAAACACTAAAAAATTCAAATATCCCAAAAATCTAAACCAGGGCATAAATAAATAAATTTCTCTTTCCATGGGGCCTTTCACGGGCCTTGATGGCATTTTTAACGAAATCTTGCCTCTGAAGTTATGAGTAAAACCACTAGTCATAAACCCATTGTGAACATTATACATTGTAATTGCACTCAAGATGTGTTAACATTGCTTATATATACAATAAATAAATCATTTGTACATAATATGACACTGTGAGCTTATGCCTTTTATTGGCTGTTCCACTAGGGAATGAACTGACAAATTCATCCTTAATCCATTCATCTACATGTACACTTTCACATGCTATGTTCTAACTGCCACAAATGGTATTCTTGAGTAGACATGTATTACTATATAAAAGTGAAAATTCTATAAAAGTGACTAGTCCTATGTATTGTTTGTGTCAGAGGTTGGCCTAGGACCGTAGTATTGCTGATAAACTTCTTCTAGCTTGTCGCACCATTTTAGTGAATTCCCTGAAGGATCTTCTAAATAGTATGTTCTATTTGGCTGAAAATAAATTACTTAAATCGTAAATTGAACAAGGCACTAATGTGTAAAACGTCATCAACTTCCATTTGTTACAGATGCCAAATGCCGAACTCCGAACACCAACCACCGAACACCAACTACCACCACACAAAAGTTGGGAGAATATAACTTGTGTTGGTGACATAACAAATGCATAGGAGTATGGTGTATTACAATCATATTGTTTGTTCTATTATGGGTATTAGCAGACAAGGAGCAACTACAGAAAAATATTGATTCAGATGTTTAAATGAAATTGCGCAAATGAAATCTTTCCCCTTTAACTCTGTTTGATCAATTTAATTATGCCCTATATCCAAATGTCCATTTTATGTTTGAACTAAACAGAATTATTTAAAAAATAGAATTATTAACTTCACATTACTTACTGTATGTACAAAGAATATTTTAAAGTTCTTGGCTTCTGGCCTCAACTCTTTAGACCTGAAACAATGGAAATGGAACGATGGAATAAAGTATTTGGGGTATATTATCTTATATTATCTTATTGCATCATTAGTATTTTGTATCTTGATTCAAGATAATTTTAAACTAATCTAATCCATTCTGATTGGTCAAACAGAGGTTCACAGTTCACCTCTGTGAATCAAAAAATCATTCCTAGGGACAAGGTCATAGTGTGCTCACAAAAATGATTACATTCAGGGAGGTTGTTCAATAGTTTTATTAACCTAGATTGATTTTAACAAGACATAAAGTGATAAATGTCACACTTTGAAGAGCAAAATGGCTGCCAGGTAATTTACCCAGCATGCCCAAAACTTAACCAGATCTTGGCACTAGTCTTCTATTGTATCTGTAAAAACTTCAGGTTGGATGGATGAGCAATTTTCTTGGAATTTTGATGGCACACACCTGCCTGCCCAAATGTCCATCAGTACAAGAATAAGAGGTCAGAAAAATCATCAAATGATGTCACCACTGTGAACTGTGAAGGATACAGAAATAGGAAAATACTGTTCTAACTATTTACTGCACTCACCATGGAATCTGTCCCTTTAGTTCCATATTTGCTGGGTCTACATAGTATAAGTGTGGACCCTCGGTTAATAAGAACATTCTCCTTCTCGCAAATAAGCCCTGGAAACAAAAATACAGGTTTAAAATAAACAATTACTCTGGGTACCTTTATCCATATACTTAACATTTGATTTAACTTTAAAAACACATAGACTTTGGTCCGTATAAAGAAGTACATATTGCATTAAATCTACGAACTTTTCGTTTTGATTCCTTTTGATTTACAAATATTGAACAGCTCTCATATTGTCATTCTGCCATTGCATTGAATTGGTCTTTCCTTGGCGTTGCCTGATAACGTGGTAAGTATACTTCTTCAAAATACATGTTATTGAAAAATTGCTGACCGCTATTTCAAATCCAGTGAAATGAATCAGTCTGCTATGACTAAATGGTCGTCAACTACAGTACAAGATTGATCAACAAAGTATAAAATTCTACCTTATAGTAATTGATCATGTCTTATATGCATGACATTCTATATCTGAATGTACGCAGTTATCTTGCTTTTTAACATCATCTTGAGTGAATGTTTTTGGATACTTTACTTACTTTTCGTTTATCTACTAGGCCTTGTTTTAGTATAAGATTCCCCTCAACAAAACGGTTATATTCGTTGCTCTTTTGTTCCTCTAATAATTGGGCCCTTTTTTCTTGTGACATTCTGCAAAAATTAGAATTTATTATTACAATGTAAATATCATAAAATGATGATATCATAAGAAATTACAGAAACCCAAAAAAGGATAAAACATGTTAATCTTTAATGTTCTTTTTGATTGTTGTTAGGTGCAAATGGATTTTGAAATGGGTGCTAGATAAATTCAAATTTTTGAATGGGTACTGCATCCATTTCATTCAATGCCATGGAAATCACTGAAATGACTTACAAGGCATTAATATGCAAAATGTCACCACATGCCATTTGTCACAGATGCCAACCCCCGACCGCTGAACACTAACCCCCGACCACCATCCACAAAAAAAGTTTGATACTATAGTAGCCCGGACAGAATTGTTCAATGGTCACTTTTTCTTTAATAACTTTTTTAATTTTCAAGTATTATCAAAATCTAATTACATATTTGAAAACAAGAGTAAAATTCTGACATACAAAAAATATATTTAAGGAACATCTCTTAATTTATTAATATTATAGGCATTCATAGTATGACTGGCGCAAATACATAATTCATCATTTTGCCTCATTTGTTCAAAATGGCGGCATACTTTGTGAATTTGAATGTTCAGTTGAAAGGTAATATTTAAGGATTGTCATAGGACTATAGGGCCATGCTGCCAATGTTACAATCCTGATGTAATGCAGCAACTGACCAATCATCAAATACAAGAAGTCAACTCCCTCCAAGGGTATATGAAATCACTCTATTGAAATGCTCAGGGTTGTGTTCAAGAGGATGTGAAAAGGTGGTGCCTCAATGTGCGGGGTGTGACGAGAGTAGGTCCCCAACCTTTTCAAGAGCTCCAAACAGCTATCTCAGAGGCCATTGAAAAGCTGAAGAACAATTCACATTCATGCCAAGGATGGGTTAAAAGGTGTGTGACTGGGAAAGACATTACAAACTGTGGCAGTATTACACTATAGTTGCACAGGTTAAACAAACTACGAGTAACAATGAAATGGCCAAAAACTTTAAGTCCTGTGACCTTACCAATATACTGTTCATACAATGTACAAACCTTTTTAAGTACTGGTATACATACAGCAGGTCAATTTAAAACAAAAGGTTATAAATGCAGCCATTACCCCATACCAAAGCAGCAGTCTACATGATTCTGTAGGCCTATTAGCCATGTCTTAAATATTAACATTCAACTGAACATTCAAACCACAAAATATGCCACCATTTCGAACAAATATGAGACAAAATGGTCAATTATGTATTTGCGTCACTCATACTATGAACGCCTATAATATTAATATATTAAGAGATGTTCCTTAAATATTTTTTTTGTATGTCAGAATTTTACTCTAGTTTTCAAATATGTAATCAGATTTTGATAATACTGAAAATTAAAAAAGTTATTAAAGAAAAAGTGACCATTGAACAATTCTGTCCGGGCTACTAACAATATGTCACTACATGTGGTAGTGACTTATAAACTACTCACAATTCTGTGGCCTTCTTTGACTCTTCCTCTGTATTTTCTGCACTGATCTCTAGGCCTATCAACTCTGAGAACTTTTGATCATCTAAGCCAGGCTGGAAATAAGCATATATTTACCTTTTACATGATAATTAGTATTGGAACATGACTGTATTCATGCTTTCTATAACTGTGAACAAAGTCAATATTTCGACCGGGTTATATTCGCGAGCAATGCCCCCGGTAATACGAGTAATGTGTGACGTCACAACAGCGGTCCGTAGTAAAGGTGGACCAAAATGAATATTTCGAAACGTTTTGCTCAGTTTTCATTTTCGAATCGTAATATAAACATTTTTGACTCACATAGATCTGTCTGTCCATTGGTCGGTCCGTCAACATAGTCGGTACAAATTAAAACTGCTATCCATATTTGGACATACCGTACATATTTATTCTATGTCTAAATCCATATAGTATCAATTTGACCCGAAATCAAATCCCAAATTCTTTCGATTTTTCTAAAAATTGGGAATTTTGATCTGAAAGTTTACTGTGTGAGTACAGAGGCTTTGGGGCTTTTATTTTTCCATATCATGGGTAGCTGCATGACAACTACAGGGCGACCTAAAGATTTGTATTTCAAGCCGAAAAGGCTTATTCACAAATCAATTACAATAACATAAAATTACATCAAGTCTGTCGGATATAAAAAAGCACTCCTAATGCATAACTTGAGAACAATAAATTATATCTTTAAAAGTGCAAGTATAAAAAGTAAGCCAACATAATAAGACATGCATGTATTATCTAACTATGAACTCATTTCAAAATCACCTATGGCTGTCCTATTGTTTTGATGAATATATTAATATTGTTAATTAGTTAATTCATTCAAACATGGAGTGGCCACATGAATAGTGTTATGGCCTAAGGTGCAAAGAGGACTATATAAACTTGGACAAACTGACTGGAAATCATTCAACTCATTGGGTTTATACATCCACAAAGGTAAGTTAGCAATTTGGTTTTTGTATAATTCAATCAGGTTAAACAACAGGAAGTTTCTGTTCTAAGTTTAAGTCCAACTTTTTGTTTTTCAGAATATCAAACAAAATGCGTTTTGTGTGTCTTTTCGCTCTTGTTGCCATGGCAACTGCTGCCCCAAGTGGCTATTCTGGTGATGAGAACAACGACGGTGTCCCAGACATTTTGGATGCTAACCGTGATGGCAAAGTCGACTATGGATATGGACATGGACACTTCCATGGACACCACGGACACTTCCATGGACACCACGGACACTTCCACGGACACCATGCCCATGGTTACACCCCATATGGAGATGGCTACCCATATGCCAATGTTGGACCTAACGGAGCTGTTGTCAAATCCCCATCTGGTCTGATTGTTGGAGACAATGGTGGTTACATTGATGCCCAGAGTGGAAAGGTTGTTGGACCCAACGGATATGTTGCTCCACATGGTCATGGATATCATCATGTAAGTGATCAACCAATTTTTCATATTATTTTTACGAAACAATTTTTAATAAATTTTGGGGTTGGGGGATTCACATCAACACATGTTGAAATACAACAATTTCAATGTTCAATTTATTGAGTACTAAAAACATACAGAAGCCATTTAATTGACTGTTTCGTGTAATTACATATTCATAATTATGTTTCTATTCAGTAAGAGGCATTTATTTGTATGTTTTCTGTTTCCAGTAAGCTTTAGCCAGTTGTTCTCACAAGATATGGTGACCCCAGTTGACAAGTGGAGGAGAGATCATCACCAGTTTACTGTACTGTGTTTTATAACAATAAAATCTGATAATTATGTAACTTCTTATGTTGTTGTCACATAAATTGATTATATATAAAAAGTCTTCATCAAATAACACGGGCCAACTGCCCATATTACAATTAAAACATTCGACATGTCAAACTATATTTGCAATGTATAAGTGGTATTTAATCTGGGTGGTTAATTTGACGAATGGTCAAATTTTATCATTTTCCTAATTTTAATTTTCCTTATGACAAGAAACTCCCCATTGGTTGACATTATGAAAATAATATTTCCAACATTTAATTTACCAATGTTTTTAATTTACCTTAATTTTTCAATAAGCTGAATAACAAAATATTAACTAATGCAATCGCACTGCCTGAACTTAATGCCCCATTGCCACTTATAACATAAGTACACATGTATAGGATAAATAATTTGAGTTAACTTACTTTATATTGAGTACTCCAAACACTCTCTGAGTCTTTATCTTTGGCAGGTAGGAAAGGTACTAGTTGTGGAGGTTTCTGTTTGGAGAGATTGCTCCAGTCAACTCCTTCAAAGAATGGATGCTTTTTCAATTTATCAAAACCACCCATCTCTTCACAGCCTAATCTTCCCTCAGGTTCTAATACCTACAATTGTATAGAATGGGGGTATTAGGTTAAGCATGTTAAATACAGGGTTCACACTTAAAAACAAGATTGCCACAATTAAAACATTGGCATTCTGTCCATTTAATTGCAAAATAGCAACCAGTTTTTCCAAATCCATTGACAAGAACGAAATATGGTTGCCAGGGGGGGGGGGGGGGGTTAGGCAGATCTGCTTTGTGTTTCGAACCCTTTTGTCTTGTGCATCAACCTCTCCATACAAAGCTCCCACCTCCTCCAGAAAGAGGGGAAGTAGATGGGGGAGAGGACCAGAGATTATTGTTCTCGTTGCCTTGTATTCAAATTGGTTCAAAGTCTTGCACCCAGACCAATTGGTTTATAGTGTTGCACCAAACCTCTAATTCAATCTTTCTCCCCAAACTAGACAAACTGTTGTATAAGAATTCAGAGATTAACAAATATTCTTCAGATTTTGCACCTTTCAGTCTGATTAAAGCAACTAAACTACGTGTATATGGTCCCAAATCATTTAATTTGAATTTTAAATGTTTTATTTACATCCTTACATCAGTAAAATTTTCATATATTGCGACATTTATCTTTATAAAATCTAGTAAACTCACCAATAATTTTTCCACGAGGTCTCTCGCAGTCGGACTGAAACCTTCAGGGAACTCATATTCTAGTTTGGTAATTTTTTGGAAGATTTGGTATTCATGCCTAAAACAGAATATAGATGTCTCTCCTGAATTATGAGTCCAGTAGTCATTAACTATTACCTTATGACGAGTATGTTTACAAAAGCTTAATTAAGGGGCCTGTAAAGCAATAATATGAAACAATTTTAGATGGTTTTCATATAATTTCATCTATAGTGGATAATTCAATTTCTGCTCATCTTTTAATAGAGTACAGTTTATGAAGCATATAATACTCCATGTGAGGGCACGGTTTAATCTTAGTCATTTTACATTAATTTAATGGGTAAGTGAACTTTGAAGTGTTGCACTTTAAAGGTTTTACTATATAGTGTATATGATTTCTTACCCTCCTCTAAAAGGTGGCAATCCTGATAGTAACTGGTATATGATACACCCAAGTGCCCACAAGTCAGAACTGAAATACAATAATGAAATATTCATGTCACGTGTGCTAAATAAATCAATAGGGTAGATACGTGGGGTAGATCTATAGGGTAGATACAACCACAAAATAAAACTCAGTAATCAGTCGTCAGATTTTCTACGCATTAATTTGTGTACGCAAATAATTGTGTGTACAATAATACACACAATTATTTATAATGGGATACCCCATCTATTTCATTTGGGATAACAATTAAGCATCGTATATGATGAAACATCAGGGAACATCATCAGGAATTGGGACGGACTACTCAAAATTGAATCATGGACATCTTGTCTAAGTGCTTGTTTCATGCAAACATGATGGCAAAATCAACTGGCCTGAATGCTAACTAATTACAGGTCCCTGCTGATGCCTTTAACACATCCTTTTGAGTGACCACCTACCTATAATATGCTTTTTTACTAGTGAGGACCTCTGGTGAGACATACTGCGCTGTACCAACAAATGAGTTCTTACGTTTCTGTCCGGGGGCAACCTGGGATCCATCTTGAGAGTCTGCAGAACACAAATTATAAACACTTTGCATCATCTCATATTTCACACAAAATTCAAGTTAATCTCTACATATGATTGATCTATATAAGTGGGTGGTAGAAGGCTTTCTTAATTTACTACTGTAAAGAGTATGAAATATTTCAATGCTTGTCAAATCATGAAGTTTTTTAAAAACTTTTTTATTTTTATTTACTCTTTAGACTTGATATAACCCCCTGTCAAAGTGGGCGCTAATATTAGTATAGATCAGAAGGAGTAGCTCCCATAATTACTTACCTGGTTATTAATAATCAATCAATTTTTCACAACCAAGATATTTTTACATACCTTCTCCCAGTTGGTCTGTTTTCAGTATTTTTGATGAGCCAAAATCTGTGATTTGTATATGCATCTGCTCATTAAACAAAATATTTTCTGGTTTCAAATCTCTGGAAATAAAATAAACACAAGCTTAGCGATAGAATAATTATTCAAAGAAAACCTAATTATATCCAAGTAAAAAGCCAATATAGAATACAGTAAAGCCTGCGTATACTGAACATTTTTTTGGAGGAAGGGTGTCCACTAGAGACAGGTGTTCACTGGAGAGAAGTGTTCACTAAGACAGGTTTTACTGTATACTTAAAGTACTAACTAATTCTTCAAAATATTAACTTCTCAAAGATGTCAATCTATCAATGTCAATAACCAATCAATCAATCCTATTAATCAATCAATTTTAAATAATTCCTGATACTTTCATTCACCTTTGAGAAATTATTGGTGAATGAAAACACAAAATGAAATTCCGTGCTAAAGGCTGATGTAAGTCTCCCCTCCCTGGTGGTGGGGATCAAACCAAAGACCCCCCGCTTTCTGGGCAAGTGTTGTACAATTGAGTTACAGCATCAGCTGACCCCTCCACATATAATTAACCCCTGAACTCCTATATTTATATATTTAATTAACCATTCACACCTGTGTATTATTCCGAGTCCATGTAAATGTTCTAGAGCTGAGACAACTTCTGCAGCGTAGAACCTCGTACAGTTCTCATCAAAGGACCCTAGCTTCTGTATGTAGTCTAACAGTTCTCCACGGCCTGCATAACTCAGAACAAAATCTGTTATAATTTGTCAAGGATAAATAAAAATAAATTGAATTCTAGAATCAGAAAAATCAGAAAATCAGAATACAATTGCATTCTATGGCATGGGCAAGAAGGTTGAATAGTAGAATACAGACAAAACTGGCAATCGACTTTTTGTATATATTTGGTAAGTAATGGCATTAACTCACATATAAAAAAAAACGACAGCATTTGCAACACAAGACATCATATAATTGTGTTAATGCAAAATACCCATATTAACACACCTACATTTATTAGCAACTTTGACGCAAAATAAGAGAACGCCTCAATTACTCAATTATTCATTAGTTGCACTACAGTATATATTCTTGAAAGAAAGCCAAACAATTGAAGCACTTTACAAGAATAATACATAGACAAAACCCTCATATGTTAAAGGGTATCCCATGGGGTAGTGTCTTGATAAAGCACTCTCTTAGGAGAATAGGAGACAATGTTAAATTACAAGCAAACCCTGCAATGAACAAACCAATGTGTTTTTGTTTTTCCAAATATAACATGTCAAAAAGATCCAGGACATCTTATCAATTGGTGAAGTTGCGTAAGATTTTAAGGCAGATATACATGTCTCTAGGATTTTTCTTAAATTAGTGGTATGCATCATTTCATTAGTACTTAAAGGAAGGTACAGCTATGAATTTAACATTGGTTTCTTGAAAATACTTTTAAAAAGTTGTTTACTATCTCTGAGTCTGCCTTTAATTAAAGAACTGCAGGATGTATAGAGCACTATAACACTATACACACCTGATGACTCGAGTACAAAAAGCTAATAACACGCAATATAATGGTACATCCGTATGTTAATAGAATATTGATTGAAATAATAATAAAAGTCCCTTTATAAGGACCACATACTAATCAAGTGTGGCACAATGAAAAATCTGATTATGAAGTGAAAATGCGATAACAATTTGATTTATGTAGTGTATTTGAAGTTACAGCAAACAATGGGATAGTGAAGAACAACAGACGAGTTAAAATTATTGCACCGCCATCTATATGAGTCTTAGATCCCATTACCTTTAGTTTTCATTCATTTTGCCCGTTCAGTCGAAATGTTGAGGCATGCACAGACCTCTATTTAGTGATATTTTCATTTCAAATATGGCGGCCAATCCGATGTCTGACGACCCTTACAAAGAATCTAGGCAGTTTGCATTTTTACCTCCTGTGAAATAACAAGTGGAATTTAGTAGTTGTTTTGTGTTTTATTATCATTCTGCATTGTAATTCTATGTGATGTGGTGTTGAAATGTCAGCAGAAATACATATCCATACGATAATCGAGTGAATCAGATAACAGATTTTTCGAAAACCCGTCTCGTGCTAAGAGTGTAAAAACTTGTATTAACATGCTCAAAAGTGCCAATGTGCACATCAATGTCAAGCTAAATCAATGTTGTGTCTAAAACAGGTACCCGATCTACTCAAAACAGCTTGTCATTCACGTATACACGCTTAGCAAACACGGCGAAATGACCTGAATCTTGGAATTTCGTTCGAGAGCTAGTAATGTTTGCTCCGGTCTTTGTCATAAGTGTTCATCAGACTTCACGCATGCGCAGGAGAAAAACCATCAACCAATAAGGTTTATAAATCAATTTTTCGCATGCGCCTTACAACGGTAAAGAAATTCGTATTTATAAACGAACCAGTTTGAGATAACCCGATATCAGTCGGAGAAATCTGACGATCTACGAAACTCACTTCAAAAAATCAAATGCGGACTGACGGCGTATTCTACTATGTTTGGATCTAAGATTTTCAGTATAGATAAAGTCTTTTATGATCTTTCGAATGAGGTAAGTCTCTAGTTCGAAAGACAATCGTATCAACTTGAACAAAAGTTGAGTTTTGACGAAAAATTTTAACATGCGCAGAAGTCCCATTTTCGTTGTACCATATTGACTGCGTTATCAAAAATAAAATGAAACCCCATTTATACATGTATACAGTATATCATGGTACAGGGTAACCCCCATTAAACAGAACCCACAAATCTGTTCAGCTGAATAATGTTCTACTTTTTTAAGTTACCCTGTATGTATTAGATTCTATTTTTACAAAAATGTGCTTTTTAATTATTGAGACCAGCAAATTCTGTCAACATGCAATATAGCTATTCACCTGATGCTATAAGAGAATGAGTTAGAACCCCATTATAATGCCTAATATTACTGTCTTCAATAACATGCAATGGCTTATATAAGCTGTATATACAATGAAAGGAGGCCTAGATATATTAGTGAATCATACATGATGTTTAGAGATCTCACTGTCATGTTATGTCATCATATATGTATACAGCAGGAGGCGCTTACTCAGCCAAACCTAAATTCACACTGATATTCAAGCATGTTCTAGTTCCCCTTTGGCATGCCATTCCCATTCCTCAGTCCAATATGACATGTAGCGAATCATCATGGATGTTTAACAAATGAATATCAATCTTCATTATGTCATGTAAGATGCTGGGTTGTGTTAAGTAAGATGTTGGGTTGTGTGATGTAAAATGTTGTTGGGTTGTGTCATGTTAGATATTCGGTTGTGTCATGTAAGATGTTGGGTTGTTTCATGTAAGATGTTGAGTTGTGTCATGTAAGATATTGGGTTGTGTCATGTAAGACATTGGGTTGTGTCATGTAATATGCTGGGTTGTGTCATGTAAGATATTGGGTTGTTTCATGTAAGATGTTGAGCTATGTAAGATGTTGAGTTATGTCATGTAAGATGTTGGGTTGTGTCATGTAAGATATTGGGTTGTTTCATGTAAGATGTTGAGCTATGTAAGATGTTGAGTTGTGTCATGTAAGATGTTGGGTTGTGTCGTGTAAGAAGTTGAGTTGTGTCATGTAAGATGTTGAGTTGTGGCATGTAAGATGTTGGGTTGTGTCATGTAAGATGTTGGGTTGTGTCATGTAGGATGTTGGGTTGTGTCATGTAAGATGTTGGGTTGTGTCATGTAGGATGTTGAGTTGTGTCATGTAAGATGTTGGATTGTGTCATGTAAGATGTTGGGTTGTTTCATGTAAGATGTTGAGTTGTGTCATGTAGGATGTTGAGTTGTGTCATGTAAGATGTTGGATTGTTTCATGTAAGATGTTGAGTTGTGTCATGTAAGATGTTGGGTTGTTTCATGTACAATGTTGAGTTGTGTCATGGAAGATGTTGGGTTGTGTCATGTAGGATGTTGAGTTGTGTCATGTAAGATGTTGGATTGTTTCATGTAAGATGTTGAGTTGTGTCATGTAAGATGTTGGGTTGTTTCATGTACAATGTTGAGTTGTGTCATGGAAGATGTTGGGTTGTGTCATGTAAGATATTGGGTTGTTTCATGCAAGATGTTGGGTTGTGTCATGTAAGATGTTGAGTTGTGTCATGTAAGATGTTGGGTTGTTTCATGTAAGATGTTGAGTTAGTGTCATGTAAGATGTTGGATTGTGTCATGTAAGATGTTGGATTGTTTCATGTAAGATGTTGAGTTGTGTCATGTAAGATGTTGGGTTGTTTCATGTACAATGTTGAGTTGTGTCATGGAAGATGTTGGGTTGTGTCATGTAAGATATTGGGTTGTTTCATGAAAGATGTTGGGTTGTGTCATGTAAGATGTTGAGTTGTGTCATGTAAGATGTTGGGTTGTTTCATGTAAGATGTTGAGTTAGTGTCATGTAAGATGTTGGATTGTGTCATGTAAGATGTTGGGTTGTTTCATGTAAGATGTTGAGTTGTGTCATGTAAGATGTTGGGTTGTGTCATGTAAGATGTTGGGTTATGTCATGTAAGATGTTGGGTTGTTTCATGCAAGATGTTGGGTTGTGTCATGTAAGATATTTGGTTGTGTCATGTAAGATGTTTGGTTGTTTCATGTAAGATGTTGAGTTGCAATAATTGTGTCATGTAAGATGTTGGATTGTGTCATGTAAGATGTTGGGTTGTTTCATGTAAGATGTTGAGTTGTGTCATGTAAGATGTTGGGCTGTGTCATGTAAGATGTTGGGTTGTGTCATGTAAGATGTTGGGTTGTATCATATAAAATGTTGTTGGGGTGTGTCATGTAAGATGTTGAGTTGTGTGATGTAAGATGTTGGGTTGTGTCATGTAGGATGTTGAGTTGTGTCATATAAAATGTTGTTGGGTTGTGTCATGTTAGATGTTGGGTTGTGTCATATAGGATGTTGTCGGGTTATGCCATGTTAGATGATTGGTCAGCTGTATTGTCTTCACCGAAATTATAATTGAACAATATCCCAAGGGAAAATTTACATTTGCAAAAAAGTGAATTTATATAATCCACTTACCAAATATAGGCTCCCCTGAGAAATTCAAAAGAATTCTTATTTCAGATTCAAATCTTGAAAAGGATACATAAGCGATCTTTATCTTGAAATGTATAGTAGAGTTTGACGAAGAATGGGTGGTTGAGTTTCGACAGGACGCTCTTTTCCCGATGAACATACTGCGCTTTATTTTCTCGTATAATATGCTGCTTGTCCAACACCTTAACTGAAAGAGATAATAAACTGCGTTAATTAACAATTCAAATAACATTATGTCAATTGGTGTATTCATATTAGTGTTCTGAAATGAAATGATGATAAGATTTCTTGCTGGTTGTTGTTTTGAAGGAAGTGACTCCATTCTAATAAGTACCCTGTAATTCCACTGGTTCAGGCTACACTTCTCTCTTTCAAGATCTTAATGACCTTAAACGTATCTTATATGACCTTATGTGAAGTTGAGTGTGATGTGAATATCAGCTATTATATGCAATAATGTGGTACAGGGTGATGATACGCTGATATAACTTAGGTCTAGGTCTAAGAATTATAGGCTATAAGTTCAAGTTTAAACGTTAGACTGAGGTTGGGTTCTTGTGCAGGGTACCCATTGGGATATCTGGGAAAACAATACTTTGTGTAATTCATTTTGATTACATCCTGTTTTTACATTGAGATCCTGGGCCTGGGAATTAATCCATTACTTTACCCTGAGATTACAAACACAATTGATAAAGGTGCTCTACAAGGCATCAACATGCAAAATGTCACCACATGCCATTTGTTACAGATCTCAAATGATGGCTGCCGAACACTACACACAAACTGCCAAACACTTCTGGTGGTGACATAATAACCATAGGGATTTACTTTAAGAAATATGACTTTATTTCTCATAATCTGGTTGTCAAAACAATGCTGTATTTTAAGCTCATTATAATTACCCAACCAGTTGTCATAATTAGTACAATTATTTGGAATCATGTAAACATATCACATTTCAAAATTGCCATGTCCAAATTCGTAGATGACATAATGTTAATTTTCTAATTTTTACTTTCATTTTCCATTCAAACTTCCTGATTTTTGCTAAAAATAGAAAAAACAGGAAAAGATTGATTTAGTTACTATGCGACTTATTTATTAAAAAGTTTGGACTTGATGCATTTCTGCTCATCTTAAAACATCCTTCTTCAATCTTTCTTTTAGAATGTATGGGATTTTCTTTCATTTTGACATACACTCTTTTAGAATATATGGGGTTTTCTTTTTTACAATACATGGGGTTTTCTTTCATTTTGACATATATTTTTTCCAATACAGTGTATGGGGTTTTCTTTCATTTTGACATATATTTTTTTTACAATACATGTATATGGGGGTTTCTTTCATTTTGACATATATTTTTTTTACCATATATGGGGTTTTCTTTCATTTTAACATATTGTTTTTTTACATTTTTACATTTTGTTTGATATATACTTAGTTGCTTGGCTTTTTAGCATAAATTAATAATAATACACTGTAATTAACTTGTGGCCCTACAATGATTTTAAATTTTATCAAGGTCTAAGGGTAGAGAATTCTAAAATACACTTACTTGCATATTGTTTATCAGTGCTTACTTCTTTGGCTAATATCACCTGAAATAAAAAATGAACAATATAATTAACGTGTTTTCGTAGAAGAGATTAAAAAACTAGAAGTAAAACACAAACAATAACAAAACCCTCAACAACAAATTATCAACAAATTAGCAAACAATTTTTTCAATAAAAATAATGAGTAAAATTTTAAACAAAGGATGTGATTCAGTGACGTTAGACTATATTAACCAATCAAATTGCTCGAAATTTCAGTCCTCGAAAAAATTACAAACAGACATTTATAGAAAATAAACTATAACACCAAGATATTTCTACCAATTCAATTTCCACAAGCTTCATCCATAAATGTGATACACAGAAACAAGAAATCAACAGAACATAAATATTACAGTATAAAACTTGTGTGGGTATTCGTATATATTATATTTATTTATTTTTTATTAATTAACCAACATAGTTATTTTTACTACTTACAGTCGAGAAAGATCCTTCTCCTATAACTTTTCCGAATATAAAATCTTCTGGCTTGCGCTTCGCTTGCAGAGATCCAGCTCGATTCAGTTTAGATGGCGTTGTTTCTTCCGCCATTTTATTTTTTGATTTAGGACTTGATGGTGGCGTAATAGGATTAGCCAAGGACTGGAAAGTAAGTCACATATTTGTAAATAATTGTGGAGGATTATTTGAGAAAAATAAAATTCGACTAGAAGGCCTTCATGAGAATTAAGCGAATCTTATATAGCATCTATACAAATTAAAAGGAAAACAAAATGAAAAATTAGAAACATTAAAACATCTACTATCAAAATCTTGTAACACTCTGGTTTCTTAAATTATTGAATAAATGAGGTTAAATGTGAAAAAAAGAATTTCTGTCGTAAATATATTAAACTTAAACTCTTGGCTTACTCTATTCACCTTGGTCTACAATACTCATTTGTTACAAACTACATATAATTTTATCGATGCTATTTATGGATTTACAAGTGTCTCATAAGCCAGTATCGACTACAGTTTTTTTCATTTTAATGTACCTTAATATTGTATTTTATATATGTATGTATGAACCTGTGACACAATAAAAAAAACAAACTATGAACCATAAAAGTCCATCAAAGATAAGTTTAATTTTGTTTTATTTCTGGAGAGAATTGTGCCTTTTAAAAACATTTTTTATAACATTTTCCAGTAAATCCTCTATCTCAAACTTTCTGATGTAATTCTCCTCAACAATTTCGATCATATTTTGATTTCTTTTTGATGTCTAACTAACTCACATTATTATTAAAAACAATGAATTAAATTTAAATTAGACCACCAACTGATCAAAAGCAACTGATCAAATACAAGTATACAAAAATACAAGTATATATAAAAATACAAGTATACCTCAAGAATGTTAGCTAACTGTCGTAACATTTTCCGAACTCCTTTTATTTTCCGCCTTCGTTCTGACATTTTTATTTCTATTCTATTGCCTCTAAGAATAAGTAGAGTGATGAATGTTGTTTACGAGCGACTATGTGTACTGTCACAATATCTGCAGCTTACAATTCCTGTTCACTTGTAATTTATACCATGTGCGAACATGTTGATTGCTATGATTGAATATCTAGGCTCATTCTTCCTCCTACCATATTCTTCCAATTAACACCCAAGTTAATAATACCAACCAATAATAAGATTGCCTTAACTGAAATACTTGATTCTGATTGGTAAAGGAGCAGTCAACAATACACCCCCGATCCGCAATATAACCTTGCAGCGCTGTACAGTGCTGTAAACAGTACTGAGCAGTGCAGGTCGAGTACTGCGCTGTACAGTGATATACAGTGCTATTCTAACAGCACTGTTTTGAACAGCAAATTTAATACTGTTTTTACAGCAATATACAATATATACTGTTTTAGAAAACAGCAATGTAGAGTACTCTTTTTACAGCGCTGTCCAGTGTCCAGCACTGTTTTATAAACAGCGCTGTGTAGTACTGTTTGAGATTGGCAGTGTAGAGACTGCTAAAATTAAATGCCTTCTAACATTCTTCATGTTTGAAGAGTTCGTATATTTCTAGTCAAGATATTTTAAGAAAATTATCATTTAAATTTTATTGAGTGATAACTGTGATTTGTTATAACTGAATTACAGATTTTGGAAGTGAGGGGAACTTGACGAAGTATCTCTTCCTGAGAGATGACTGAATGAATGAGCACTTAGTAGAATTAATATGGTAGAGGATATGAAAAACACCAATTAGATGAACAGTAATAAGTCAACAATGTACGTACAATAATACATTTGCTAGAGAGGCTTCACTACTAATAATTGATAAACAACTAGACCACAATTATTCTAAGTATTCTAAAATAAATATTAAACAATATTTCTTTAATATAAACAACAGGAACCACTTATATATTATTATAAAGCAATTATACAAAAATATTAAAGCGAAGATGACAGTGGCAAAATTAGAGAAACACAAAACAAGTTTTTCTTTGCTAATGCTTGACTCAGTGGAGTCATAAACAAATTATGAGATGTCATATAAGGACACAAATGTGCAACATGTCCCCACAAAGGGGTTATCCTATATTTACATCCCTTTATCAAAATAATACATATATTATTTTTATTGCTGTTTTTTACTGTAATTGTAAAACTTTATTGTCAGATGTATTTTTAGCCCAAAGGCATCAGTACAAATAAATCCTAATAAATATAGATTTTTCATCCTTATTGCCAAACACGAATACACATTTCCGATAAATTGTGCCATCTTTTGATCCATCAGAGAAACTATTTATTGGCTAGATTGATGATGTCATTGGTTGTCGTGTAGTAAGCAATCTGTCCATGCCAATATATTGTGGTTTATCTGATGGATCAAAAGATGGCACAATTTAACGGAAAAGACTTGGTTTTAGGACAGAAAATCCAAAATGGCCAACTTTAAATTTACCCAGAATGCCAAAAAACTAAAGTTTTCGATTTTCATACAAAGAATCATCTCAAATGGATCAGCAGAAAAGGCGTAGACAAGACCTTACAGATGAGATTTTAGGATGGAAAATCCAAAGCATCTCTTTACAAAATCATCTCATACAACTCAACTACGGTTAACGGGGTCTTTATAATGCAGAACAACTGAAATTATATATAAAGCTACTAAAATATTTAATGATGAAAACTCAAAAAACCTTGTTAATATGATACAAAGTATAATCGCCTACTCACTTTTCGTAAGACATTCGAAATGGCTGTCATGACTGAGTTAACATGTCCAAAACTTAATCAGATATAAAAGTTAGTTAAAAGTTTAAAAGTAAATGTGAAGCTTTTTTCTTAAAGTTTGCAGATAATGAATTTAGTATTTAACTTCAAAATGGCTGACAGGAAGTAGGTATCAAATCAAAATTTTTTTATCACATCTGTATGTATTCAAAAGTAACTTCTGAAAATTTGAAGGTGATATCTGTAGCAGTTTTAGAGAAAACTGTCGGACATACAGATGGACAGACAGACATACAATCATACATAGAGACACGCCCGAGCGGAAATTATGGTACCACACTACATGTGTATTATGTATATGTGGTGGGAACATAATATAACTCTCTGAATAAATCTGAAACAACAAGCACATATTTTTTTATGAACTTTGTTGTTTCCGGATTTATTACAATAACAATGACAATCACATTAATTTATCAGCTGGTGCCATTATTTTGTTTCTACAAAAAGTCAGCTGCAACCACATTGATTTTAAACAGGAAAAAATTGACCCTTTTAACCAAATTCTTGAACTCTAAAACTGGATGTCTACCCAGTCCCTGTACTTGGCCACCAATTGTTTTAGATGGGAAGGTGACCTGGGGTCGACATGGAATCCTCAGGGTTTTGAAAAGTTGTAAAGATGTCACTAGCAGCATGAGGGCATTTGATTTGGGTTTCACTGAACACAATCGAGATCTACCTCCCCATGATATGATTTTCTTTCAAATTGAATTCTTTCTGATTATATATGAATTAATATATAGTGAAAGGTGAGAATTAAAAATGGCTGTCACAGTTTGCATATTTATGATACTAATGAGGTGAATATGGATGATGTTATTCCTGATAATCAAGGAGATGAAATTGATGACTAAAGTGGTTAAATAAGTGACAATCTAGATTTACAAAATTTAAATTCGGATTATGAGCACGGTAATATGCCCCATATGCCACTCATGAATTTTCGAGATTTTGGTTTTAACTTAACATGTCATTTTGACTTTGGACAAAGTAAACATTGAAAATGCTACCACTCTACCTATTAATTATAAGGTTTAAGTGAGACAAGAATGTGTAAATCACAATTTGAAAACACAATACATTACACTTTTGGTTTAAAGGTTTAACACACTGAAATAATAGTTAGTTAGTACCAGGAATTGAATTAAAACATATGAAATATAAGAAAAACATTATATTTAGAAGAGGAAATGGCTATTCACAACAAACATTGAAATACACAAAACTGGTACATTCTTACTTTAAACACTACTGTTTATTACTGAGGAATTTAAAAAAATTAAGGAACATTAAAAATCGAATAACTTTTTGAAAGATTTCTTTTAAGAACACACACTCCAACGGATTACTCCTCAAACCAGAACAACGGCAACGCCAAAGCGTAGCGAATCCCATCGAACAGAAATGGCTGGCATTTTTACAAACGAATAGCAAATATCATAAAACAACACACCAGAAAGGCCACCATTTTCAAAATGGTTGCTCACTAGCCAAGTTGTCATCAGAAGAAATAATATGCTTTTAAGTAGCCACCTCTAAAATTTTTGAAAAATCATACACGTACTTGTAAAATAACACACATAAAAATGGTGGCCATTTTTCGAAATGGCCGACTACTCCCCAAAGTTTAATTAGACATTGTGCCATGCTTAAAGCATTCACATATCAAATATGAACAAAATCGCTCCACTACTTTTTTGAGTTATAGTAAAATACGTTAAAATGGCGGCCATTTTTCAAATTTTTTTTCAAAATGGCCGCCTTCTACCAAAAGTGTCATAGGACAGTGTGCCATGCTTATAGTATTCACATACCAAATATGAACAAAATCGCTCCACTACTTTTCTAGTTATAGTAAAATATGTTAAAATGGCGGCCATTTTTCAAATTTTTTTCAAAATGGCCACCTACTACCCAAAGTGTCATAGGACAGTGTGCCATGCTTATAGTATTCACATACCAAATATGAACAAAATCGCTCCACTACTTTTCGAGTTATAGCAAAATACGTTAAAATGGCGGCCATTTTTCAAAATTTTTTTCAAAATGGCCGCCTTCTACCAAAAGTGTCATAGGACAGTGTGCCATGCTTATAGTATTCACATACCAAATATGAACAAAATCGCTCCACTACTTTTCGAGTTATAGTAAAATACGTTAAAATGGCGGCCATTTTTTAAAATGGCCGCCTTCTACCAAAAGTGTCTTTAGACAGTGTGCAATGCTTATAATATTCACATACCAAATATGAACAAAATCGCTCCACTATTTTTTGAGTTACAGCAAAAATCGTAAAATGACGAGTAAAGGCCGCCATTTTTCAAGATGGCTGCCATGTGCTTCTTTAATATCTACATTTGTAGCATTATTAATGTCCTTTATAATTTTTTTAAATTTAAAACATATTGCTATAACAGTTTTACATATTGCACCTAAATTACTGTAAAATCAGCACTAAAATGGCCGCCATTTTGAAATGAGCGGCCATTTTGAAAATCGGCTTTCGAGCAGAACTTCTACCCCCATAGGGTATATGTGTACAAAATATGAACAAAATCGGGCCAACGGTATTTGAGTTATTGCCCGCACGGACGGACAGACGGACGGACGGACGGACGTACGTACGGACGTACGTACGGACGGACAGACGGAGGCGTTCCCTATATCCCTCCGAACTTCGTTCGATGGGATAACAAAGGAAACCCTAATCCCTCACCTGAATCTAGCAGTATCATAATATAAGAGGCAGCTCATATAAAGGGATTAAGATTTCATCACCCAGAGAATATAACTAGTCTACATTCCAATCTTTGCATGGTCAGGTGATGCAGAAGTCAATGTGGATGAGGTGAGGGAGATGTGTGAAGTGGAAAGACAGAGATATGTTTTCATCAAAATCAAACATGAAGACTTGCACCAAATGTTTCCACAATATCGACTTATAGAGAATCAACCTGGTATGAGTTGATCAAACGGATCATCTCGGAACGTCCTTAGATTTGGCACTATATTCTAGCATCTTGAATTCTATGACAAGCTTTATTTGGCACCTGCTTGACAACCCATATACATTCACACCCATCAGCAAAAGGCAATATGGCAGTTTTTAAGAACGCCTATGATGATAAAAACATGTTTTTTGTTAAAGACAGTATCCTTGAAAATTGAAAAACAATGAGTGAAACTTCTTTTGAAAATAGCCATCACATACATGTTCATGTCAAAATATGTGATGTGCTATGTCATCCAACAAAATAATACTAAGTTTGTATTAACAAAATAATAAATTCAGATTTTTA